GCCGGAGCCGGGACGGGGAGGGTCTCGTAGTCCTGCTGCTTCCCGGCAGGCATCGAAAGGTGTTTTGAGGTGTGAAGCCCCCTCAGTTGTTCAGGTTGGCTTTTAAACTCATTCCATGGCGAACTTAACCTTCACAAGGGTCAGGCTGCCATCACTGAGCTTTTCCTTTTTTCAAATAGCCCTCTCTTTCATCTTAGTCTTTTAAAGATGTCATAAAAAGGGGACACCCCCAGCTTCAGACCTTTACTGTGTGTATTGATGCTGTTCCACTTAGAAAAACCCAAATAAATGTCTGTTTTTAAGCAGAAGACTGCAGCCGTGCTGCTTTATTTGCAAAAGCAGAGGAGCTGCTGGCGAAGAGAACAGCAGGTGGAGATCCCCTGGCACGTTTTCTGAAAGGACAACTGTACTACGAAGAGGTTGTGGTTTCCTTCTTTTGAGCAAATATTATAAAGCTGACAATTTTCAATACCATTTCAGAGGAAAAAGAGACACCTTAAAAAAACTACAAGAGATGTCTATGCCGGTTTTGTTGTTTTGGTTTTTTTTTCCCCTTAAAATCACCAGATGTTCCCCCTCAATACATTTTTGCTACACTTTCCCCAAGCATCTAGTGGTGTCTTCCAGCTTCCTCTTAGGTCTCCTAAGGACCAGAGAAGTAAGCAGCTGCCTATCCCTACAGCTAACTTCCAAGCCGAGTTGTTTTTTGGCCAGCTGATTGGCCCAACACAACACAACACAACACAACACACTGGGTTTTCAGTTACTGGTCCCTCAGACGTTCTGTGTTCAGTCTCTGCGAAATCAACCCTTAGTTGAGATGTAAAAGCATAGTCTTAAACCCTTGAGGTATAAAAATAGCTTCCCTAAGTTAAGGGATGTCAGATAGATAAGGTAGGGCATCTGAATTAGACTATTATCTCCTTAAACTGAAAAGATGGCATTTTGGGGAGGGAAGAAAAGTTGTCAGTCTTTTGTTATCTCCTTAAACTAAAAAGATGGCATTTGGGGGAGGGAAGAAAAGTTGTCAGTCTTTGGATCTCAGAGATTATGTTTCTATACCACACTTATATTTATGGTTTTTTTTAATATATATATAAAACTAATGAAAACTTGTTTGAAAGTCCAAAGTGCTTCCACCCTATCCAACTTAGTTGTGTTTGTTGGCTTACTCTATTTCTGTTTCTGCCACTTCTGTGGTTGCAATTTTTTGCTCTTTGTTCATGAGGGAAATGCTTCTGCTTGAAAACCTGTAAGAGAACATATACTGGAGAGTTAAGCTGCCATAAGTTCTCTTCATTCTGTGTACTTCATTGTTTATTCTGTCCTTCCCAGGGGTTGTATGAAGCAGCATTTATACAATTCGAAAAAATCAAGGATACAGATTTTCAAGCAATGTATCAGCTTGGTGTAATGCACTATGATGGACTAGGCACTACAGAAGACCCTGTGAGTAATGTAGCTGTACACTTTTTACTTTTCTTTTAATATTAGGTGATAGTTATGGAGAGCTTCTTTGTAAGCTTGATTATTTAGTTTAAAATAAACAGGTCTTTGATTTAGAATTAGTTATATATAATGTACAGATGTTTAGAAGCCATCATTAAAGAGACAGGGTTCTAGGCTGAAGTTCTCAAGAACAGCTACAATAAAATTGGTTTATCTGAAAATTGCTTATGATAATTTGTATTTTAAAATATAACTTCCAAGGGTTTGGTTGTACTTTGTGTGGAGGCTATGTTTAAAAATGGCTATTAATTTGTTACTTTTTAATAAGCAGTGTCTATAAATGAAAATAAACTAAAAATGAACTCAACTGTATTTCAAAGTGTAAAACATCCGTTGCACAGAGATGTTTTTTAAGGTACCTTCTATTCTCTTAACACGGATGCTAAAGAAGATTGTGCTTTTGCCAATGGTTGGCAGTAATATTTTTAAATTAGACAAATGAATTGCAAGAATTTGAATAATTCAAATTGAAGAATTACATTACAAAAAGGAAGACAAAGGAGTAAATTGCTACAATAAGAAGAAAGGAGTTAATTTATGGGAAAACATAATCTTAAAGAAGGGTATAAGGAAAGAATACAGAGGATGAAAGAAAGGGTAGATAACAAGATAGGAGGGCAAGAAAAGGAACCAAACAGTGCTTTAACAGATTGGATTCTTGTCTGGTGCTAAGAGGATTGTCAGCAGAGCAGAAAATATTGTGCTGGCTTTTAGAGGTGGTTCCTTTGTTCCGTATGCTGTATGCCTGTATAATTACCACATTGGTTTACTTGTAAATAAACATTTTAGTAAAGTTTCTTTCTTTTTTATTATCATATGAGAGGTGAATAAAAGATGAATTCTTTATAAAGGACTATTTCTAGTGTCCACACTAAATCCTAGCATCGTAAATCTTGTTTCCAAAATACTTACGAGTTCCTTGGGTGGTACACCATACAGATGCTCATATGCAATGTTCTCTGTTTGCTTATTTAACACTATAATTTTTTGTCCATTATGAGCCTAAGGTATTTTTAATGAAGGGACTTCAGAGTGTGCTATTATATAATTTTGCCTTCTGTTAAGGTTGTTTTATGATTTCAGGTACATCATGCAATGTGAAAAAGATTACAGAAGTCTAAAATTGAAAATGTAGCAAGTTTAGGATGTAACATTCATTTATGTAAGCAGAAGAATATTTTTAATAAAATTTTTATCAATAATGCAATATTAGATGAACATTTATAAGGCAATATTTCACATTAAAAATATGCTGGAGTAAGAAATCTAGGGGCTGTCTAGTAACCAAACATCAGTTCTGCTTTGGTATGACACTGTTCTCCAGACTGTCTTAGCAGTATGTCTCAGCCTGTCTTCACTTGCAGAAGTTAGGGGATTCTCAGGTTCTTTATTTCCTCCTCTTCCCAGACTAAATGTAATAATTAAAATGCCTACATTTTAGGAAAAGGGGGTGGAATACATGAAGAAAATACTTGACTCTGATTCCCCAAAAGCAAGACACTTGAAGTTTGCAGCTGCATACAATCTTGGCAGAGCATATTATGAAGGATGTGGTGTTAAGCAATCAACTGAAGAGGCTGAAAGGTAATGGCAGTCAGTAATTCTCCATATGAGTGTAAGATGCTAAGATACTGTGCTACTTAAACTTTCTTTGTCCACATTTTCTTAGGTTGTGGCTTATTGCTGCAAACCATGGGAACCCAAAAGCAAGCGTGAAGGCCCAGAGTACTTTAGGAATGCTTTATTCTCTGTCAGTTCTAAAAGATCTGAAGAAGGTAAAGCCCACTTGTACCTTTTGAGCTTCATGAGTCTCAAGTAATTTTGAATTTCACAGAAAGAGGACAGCAGTATCTTTGACTCTGAAAACTGTATTGTAACTACTGCTAGGCATTATCCATTTAAGCCCATGTGAACAGAGGGCTGGAATCCCTCATTTTGACTCAACACTGCTAGCCAAGTTGGGTTTTTTTGTTGTTGTTTGTTTGTTTATTTGGAGTAGCAGGGAGAAGGATATAATGAATTAAAGCTTTGTCAGCCTTGGTACCCTTCAAAAATCAAGGTGTCACTGACTGATAGCTCCAACAGGAAATGAAGCAGGTTTAAAAACCTTACAAGCATTCTGCTTTCTTTTACGTACAAGTACTTCTTAGAGGCTGGTTAATGTAAAAGCTTTTATGGAAACAGTATGCAAGAAAAGCAGCTAAAATGAATGTATACTCTAATTTTATGCCTCTTGTATAGGCCTTTTTCTGGCATTCAGAAGCATGTGGCAATGGAAATCTGGAATCACAGGGTGCACTTGGTGTTATGTATCTCTATGGACAAGGTATATGTCAAAACACTAAGGCTGCTTTGGAGTGTTTGAGAGAAGCAGCACAACGTGGAAACATCTATGCTCAAGGCCATCTTGTGGAATATTATTACAAAAGAAAATTTTACTCAACAGCTGCTGCAATAGCCAAAAGGTGAAGTTAATTTAACTTTATTTTTTATTATAGTTCTTCATGTAAGACCACAGAACTCAGATTAAAGTTATGTCCATGCTCTTGTCTCTCCAACTCAAGAGACATTTGAGATAATGAATTGCAAGATCTCATCCTTGAAGAGGGAATAGCAAACCACAGACATAATTTATACCATAACGTTCTCAATTATTCATTACAGTTGAACCTTTCTTTCTAATCCTGTGAAGCAAAACAGCCTTGAACTAGAATCCAACGTAGAAGCCCCCACTCAACCCTGCCTTCCTGTATCTTCAGTCCACAATCTGCTCTAGGCTCCTGCCTTCACCATTCCCTTTTAAACACCTGCAAATATGCTGTTCTCCACATCCCCCATCTTAATGTCATTTCTACCCTCTCTTCCATCCCATCACTTCCTTACTCTGTGGCTCAATATGCTTTAGTCCAGTTCCTATGTCCTTTATAGGAAATGCAAGCATTGATACTGGGTGGGATCCTACAGTAACCAACTCCAAGCAGCACAGCCTGGGACCTGGAAGTAGCTGCTGCACACAGTGCCACATTATTGCCCTTTAGTTTTGCGATGGGTTTGCCCTTGGCTGGGGGCC